ACTTTCAGCCTCTTCAATTCTCGGTATAGGTGTGTGCGACTGCATAGTAGAAAGGCATGCGGCCGCATGGTTCCGCCAGACAACTTTCAGTGTTTTAATCATAACTTTCTTTCTTGATGACCAATTGAGGTGATTCAAGTTGCATTGGAGAGCTATCTCAAAGGGCCACAATTTTTATTCAGAAGTCATCTCCCAATTCGATCATCATCCATGTCAAAAATGGTTCCCAACATGAGACTAAAAACTGGTGTGTTAGTTTTCGATTGGAAATTGATTTATTGATCAAACTTTGATGTTATTTCATCCCTTTGACTTCTTTCCTCATCCACTTGACCTCTAACACTTTCGAATCTTCATCATAATCTTGGACACAAGTTTGGATCATTTGCACTTTAGTCCTCAAACTTTCGTTCTCTTCTACTTTGGTCATTTTTCACTTGTTTCTTCCGAATTTCATCTTTTTCACCAAAATGCAACCTAAACCAAAATATAAGAGTAATGAGTGCATTTTGGCATAATATAATCACATGAATGCAATAGTTAAGAGGGGAAAATATGGTATTTTACACTCTTATCACCACCCTAGACCTCTTCAAGCTATGGAAGATTTTAATGAGTGCATTGACAAGTGTGGTCTCTTGGAACTACCAGTTCTAGGTAGAAAATTATCTTGGTGCAATGGACATTAGGGTTTGACTAGAAAGTTGGGCGCAGCTAGACAGAACACTGGTAAATGAGGAGGTGTTATGTGAATTCCCCGAAGCAAGTATGAAGTACATGTCACGAACATCTTTTGGTCACCGCCCTAAGACTATTAACTTGCAAAAGAAGTATGCTTTGTATGGCCCGACTCCATTTCGATTCCAACGAATGTGGTGTGAGCATGAGGGATTTTTGCCGCTTGTGGAGGCAGCATGGAGATTGGGAGATAGTGGTTTGATGTTGGGTGGCTTAGAAAAATTAATGGCTAAACTGAAGGCTACTAAAAAAGCTTTGAAATTGTGGAATAAAGAGATTTTTGGGAGGGTTGATAATGTTATTTTGGAATTAGAAGAACGTGTGGAGGCTCTCGATAGCAGGTTACAAGATGCATTTTCTAATGAGGCAGAACAAGAATACTTGAGTTCTAAAATTGAATTGGAGGAATGGCAAAGAAGAGAGGAAATTAGATTGTCCCAACTGGCAAAAAAGAAATGGTTGTCTGACGGTGATAACAATTCAAAATTTTATCATGCTGTAGTCTCGCAAAGACGAAGAAATCAAAGTTATATCAGATGAAGCTTACAGACGGCACTCTCATGTCGACTCCGCAACAAATACATGCAGAAGCTGTGAAATATCTTCAGATTGTTCTTACGAGCGAGGAAAGAGAAATTGTGCCAGATTTATGTCATATCATTCAGTTTGCAGTTTCAGATGAGGAAGGTAAGATGCTATGTGCTTTGCCGACTGACTGAAGAGGAGGTTCGAACTGCAACTCATTCGATACCTATAGATAGCACATCTGGGCCTGATGGATATGGATCAGCTTTCTTTATCAAGTGTTGGGATATTATTAAAGAGGATCTAGTGGAGGCAACAAAGGAGTTTTTTTGAAAGAGGTGTGCTTCCTCGATTTTATACATCATCCTATACAGTGTTGATCCAAAAGGTGGACAATCCTAGCGGTTTTGATAAGTTTCGACCAATTAGTCTTTCCTCTGTTGTGTACAAAATATTTTCAAAGATTTTGGTGCAGAGAATGAGTGTTATACTTTCTAGGATTATTTCTCAAGAGCAAGGAGCCTTCATCCCAGGTCGAAGTATTTTCAAGAACATTACACTCACTCAAGAATTAGTGAACTCTTTGAATAAAAAGGTTCGTGGTGGAAATGTGATGATTAAAGTACATATGGCTAAAGCATATGATAGGGTGGAGTGACATTTCTTACTTCATGTTTTATCATCCTTTGGGTTCCCGACGATGTTTTGTAAGTTAATTGAACAATGTATATCCACACCATGGTTCTCAGTGATGATGAATGGAAAGGTTTTTTTAAATCAACGCGTGGTCTACGTCAAGGAAATCCTTTATCCCCTTATTTGTTTATTATCATGCAAGAGGTGTTGACTAGACTGCTGAAGAGGGGTTTTGAGGAAGGACAAATTGGGTGCTTCTCACACCCTAGGGGCGCGACTGCGATAACTCATTTGATGTATGCTGATGATTTAATCATTTTTGCCAATAAAGGGAAAAGGTCTATCAGAGAGCTCAGGAAGGTTCTAGGTTTATATGAGAGCTGGTCTGGTCAAAAGATCAACAAGGAAAAGACTGCTATTTTTTTTCCAAAAAATTGTTCAATGACTCAAAAAGGAGTAGCACTAAGGGATAGTAGTTTTAAGGAGGGTCAATTTCCAGTTATCTACTTGGGTGTTCCAGTGGTCCAGGGTCGTTTAACTGCCCGCCATCTTGAGCCCTTGGTGGAAAAAATCAAAAAGAAAATTGTAGGTTGGAAGCTTCAATTGCTGTCGCAAGGGGGCAGATTGGTCTTACTTCATCATCTTCTCACGTGTATGGCTACACATTTGTTGTTTGTGTTAAATGTTCCAACATCTATTTTTAAGAGACTCAATTCCATCCTCTCATCCTTCTTTTGGGGTGAGGTTAATGGAAGGACTAGGAAGAAATGGTGTTCTTGAGATAAACTTTGTAAACCGATGGTGGAGGGGGGGATCGGAGTTAGGAAATTTGAAGATGTCCAGCGTGCCTTGCAGATGAAGTTTGCATGGAAATTACTGTCATCAGATTGCTTATGGGCAACCTTTTTTCTGGCAAAATATACGAAGCATGGATTGATTGATGTCTCCAATATACGCTGTATAGGCTCTCGATTCTAGTGCTCTATTGTGGGATGCATCCCTGATGTGATTAATAGAAATCAATACGGATTAGGGAGGGTTCCATCTCGTTCTAGTATGCTCATTGGTTAG